CTCAAGGGTCAAGATTTTATCTTTCCAGCATCGGTAAGAGGGCCAGAGAGGGTCCGTGGGAGAATTCTTGGCTTCCCAGAGAGAGTCCTGGGTTTGGTTCCCAGCCAATGGCCCTGATCCACAGTGAGCGCCTGCCTGTCAGTGTGGTGTGTGTACTGCTATGATGGTGAACAGTTTCCCAGAGCTCCCAGACTAAGATGGACTAGAAAGAAAGCCCTGAACTCAGTCTCTCAGGGAGCTTCCAAAAATTCATGGGAAATTTTTATTATCTTTGAATTCCATTTCTCAAGCCTCCTCATAATTCTAAAAAATAAAAATCAGTCAATAAAATTCCTATAGGTACCATGGCCATGGCCTCAGCATGAATCAAAGGTTGATTCAATAGCAACTAACAAGTGCAACAACATATAGTAGACACACAGTACATACCTGAGGGCTGGATGGATGTTGGAGAGCCGGGATCTGGACAGAGCTATTCCAAGGACCTGCACTTCTGAGACTTGCTGCCAAACTTGACATTGACTCCACCGGGGGTAGGAAAAGATTGCTCAACCCCCATGAACCACTTTGCCTTTTTCTGCTGTAGATCACAGGACAAGATCTCTGAAAACCAGAACGTGGCTTACAGGATTGTAGACGTAAACGTCTAAGACATTTGATCTGCACCTCCGTCTATCTTCTTGATTTTACAGGAGATCAAATGACTAGGACGACCGTGCCGAGAAGTCAGTTCAGTGTCGGTCCTGTTATTTCCCTGTGGTTACCGGAGACGTGGAGGGGAGGACACCGGGCACCACTGGCACCCAGAAGCTGATGCCTTCTCCCATTGCTGACCAGGAGGCTGGGCTGTATGTGTGGACACTGATAAATTGCTCTTATACACTGCCTACCACAATGCACTGTGGGGTCCTGGGCCATTATAGACTCGAATGCTCATGATCGTTAGCTATCTGGGAGATGCAAATCACAATGCGAGATACCACCTTACACAGACAATGAGAGCCAAATTAAAAACAGAAAAGAACAAATGCTGGAGAAAGATTGGAAGACTCTCACACTGCCGGTAGGACAATAAATATACACAACCACTATGGAAAGCCATATGGCACTACCTCAAACAACTGAAGATAGAAAGTGCATAGCATCCAGCAATACCTCTGTTGGGCATATTCCCTGAAGAAATAAGAGCCATAGAACAAACAGACGTGTGCACACTCAGGTTTATGGCCACACTGTTCACAATAGCAAGGGATGCAAACAACCCAAATGCCCAGTGAGGAATGGAGAGAGACACGCACAATGGAAGACAGTCACTAAAAAACCATGATGGAGCCACAAAACGCCTCCTGGCATGGATGGACCTAGAGATCATTTTACTGAGTGAAATTAGTTATCCTGAAAGGACATATATTATAGGAGACCACTGTTATAAGGGGGAAACAAACACAAAACAAAACCAGAGACAGACTTCCAGTCCACAAGGAACAGACTTTGGCGGTTACGGAGGGAGAGAGGGCAGGGAAGGGAAGATGCTTGACAGCTCTTGATGTGAGTGGAGGGGTTTGTAATTCACAAGAGGGAGAAAAGACATCTAAGGGGGGAGTGGGAGGGGAAGCTGCTGGGTGGCCAATGGGCGAGGGCTGTTGACAAGTCACTGAAACTGGAACACAAAATTGATGATCAGAAATGTAACCCCCCACACTCCACCTCATTCATAATAAAAACGGTTAAAGAAGGAAAAGGCCAAGAAAACCCACTGGCATCCAGTTGATTCCATCCCACCATCCCACAGGGACCAGCAGGTTTCCCATACTGTCATCCTTACGGAACATTTCTCCTATGGGAGGTACTGGTGGGTTCAAACCCACAGACCTTTCTGCTAACAGCCCAACACTTGACCCACCATGCCCCCGGGGGCTCCTTCAACCGACAAGAAGGAGTTGACATTTGCTGGTTAATCCTGAATGGCAAGAGTCCAGTCAGAATTAATGAAGATTCTGAATTTGGTGTGCATAAATACAGCCTTATTTATTTGCACTATAAGCATTCTCTGACTGCCAAGTATTATCTGCCTTAATGAATAGGTAGGAGCCCATTGTTATTAGCATATCAATCATGGTATGTAAATTAAAGATGCTGAAGTGCCTTAAAAACCATAGTTTAAAGGGGGCAAAATCTGGTGTGCATGAATCTCCTTAGCACATTCTGATCTATAATCCAGTGCAAACGTACCCTTTCTCCCAGGCTGCCCCGAGGCTAATCTGCGCAAGTTCCAAACCCAGATTCTTTAAATAGGGAAGCTTGACTGGTCAGTCTAAGATTAAAACCGCTTCTCAAATTGGGCGTGCCTGTGTGCGTGCGTGTGTGTGTGTGTGTGTGTGTGTGTGTGTGTGTGTGTGTGTGTGTGTGTTAGGATTTGATCAGGAGCCAAAACAAAGACCCCAAATGACAGTGTTTTCCAAGATGGGATTTTCTTTTTCTGTAACAGCGTGTCCCGTCGTCCCACAGGTCCAGAGAATGACGCTTCTTTGACCCTTGTCCTCCTGGCCCCATACCTGCATTCCCCTCTGGGAGGACAAACAGGCTACAGCCAAGTGGGGAGCCACCAACCCTTGTTTTCAGCTAAGCCAGCCAGGGGAGGGAGAAAGCTTGATAGTGAACAAAAGAGCCTGCTTACGGTTTGCTCTGCTGGCTGCCAGGAGTTGGCTGGAGGCAGGCTCTCTCGAAATGGGCATCTTCTGCAATTGATTCAGAGAGTGCACTTGGCTTTCTCTGACTGGTCCTGAGTTGGAAACAGGTCCCCCAAATGGGGAAGCTGGCAGTCAGTCATTGGCCTCGTCCTGGCTGTTCCACACAATCACTGCTGGTGCTGGCGTTGCTGCAGAAGTTCTGAGTCAGAGTTTCGGTGACGTGTCTGGTTTGGCCATCGTTCATGAGTACACTCAGACTCCCAGCAGCAAAAGGCGGCCCAGGAGGATCACGCACGAATGTTCCTTTTGAGGTTGCAATGTCACTCCTACCCAGAGCCTCCTCAGATGGCGGGGTGCTCCAGGGTAGTGGGACTGCCTCCACTCACAAGCCCTTGGGTAGAACTTGGTCACATTTAGGTGCAAGGAAGGTTGGAAGATGTAATCTTTCATTGCAGTAGCCATGCGCTCCTTTCAACCCGAGGTCTTCTCTCCTACAAGAAAGAGAAAGCAGCTATTAGAGGACCCACACAGAACCTATCCAGGATCACCCCCACTGTGTGCATTGGAATCTGCTAGTCTGTGGCCCCCCGGATGGTCCACGCGTCTCTTCCCAGAGACAATGCAGCACCGCGAAAGCACAACTCTGGCAGCCCAGCGGGTCTGAGTTTGAATCATCCCTCTGCTGCCTCCTAGCTATGCAACCTGGGGTAGCGAATTGAACTTCTCTTACCCAATGTCATCATCCTGCAGTTTTACCGCCATGGGGAATTTCTTATGATAATTAAGTGAGGCCACATGTGCCCAACACATGTTGCTCAAGGTCTGGCCCGTCTCTGTCACTTATGTAGCCCCTGGCAGTGAAATGTCTTACAGCTCCACCCCCATGTCGACTCAGATGGGCTGCAGCTCTAAAGGAGCCAAGCCCATAGCTCTCCTTCCCAAGGGCGTCCCTGGGTGGTATCAATGGTTACCGCATCTGGCTACTATCAGAAAGACGGGAGTCTCGAGTCTACCCAGAGACACATTGGAAGAAAGGCCTGATTATCTACTTCCCCCTAAAAGCCGCACGGAGCACCCTGTGGAGCACAGTTCCACTCTGACCCATGAGGGGTCACCATGGGTACACAGTGGGTTCAGTGACAATTGGTCATCCTTTCTAGCTGGAGTTGGAAGCAAGTCCCCATCTCACAGCCCAGGGTCAAGTGGCTGAGTCTCCACTGCTGGGGTACAGAGGGCCAGCCAAAGAAACCCAATAGCCCTTGCCCCGGAGTAGGATGGTCCTTCTTAGGGTATACCTGCTGGCTCAGAGAAACTGTTCACATTTCCCCTGTCACTCTCAATGATGCCCAATTAGGAATGATAAACCCCTGTATGTCCTTGTTGTCCCTGTGAAGTGCCCTGTAGACTGCTTCATGATGCCGCAGGTCCCTGGTCGAGCCTTCGCAGGTTGTCTTACCTTGGTTTTGACCAATTACCATACCTATTACTCTGAACTCACCCTCAACTCCAACACTAGCTTATTGCTCCTAAAGGACTGGTCCTAAAGATACCACGGCCAGCTCTTTCTTGTTACACAGTTCTCAGCTCAAATATCTATCCACCGAAAGTTTTCCTCATGCTCCCTTAGTCATTGCCAATCTTGTACTTCTGTTTTCCTTCCAATATAGAACTTAGTACTCTCTGACATGACATCTTAGCGCACTTGCTTGATACATTTCTCCTACTGCCCTTAAGGTGCAGAGAGTAGGAACCATGTCCATCCTCTTATGTATAGTGCCTGGCCTACAGCAGGTACCAGTGTTAGGCCGAGTTGACTAGAGAAAACAAATCCAGAGACACTCATATGTGTATAAGAGAGAACTTTATATCAAAGAAATTGTACATGGAGAAAACATTGCAGCCCAGTCCAGATCAAGTCCATAAATCCAATATTAGCCCATGTGTCAGATACTAGTCCATAAATTAACTTTTTAGACTCACCCAGAACATGCAATGCTGCCAAGAGCAGGAAGATCACAGGCCGGTGGGTGGAAAGTCTTGTGGATCCAATGCCAGTGGAAGCATCTCAGCGCTGGCGCGGGTCTTCACGTGGCTCCTCCACCTCTCCAAGTGTAGCTCTTCGATAGGAAGGTGAAGCAGAGAGAGAAAGTGTCCAGAAACCTCATGAGAAGGCCATGCCCACAAGGAGGCATCACCAGGCTGTGACCTGATTGACAGGCTAGACTCCACCCCTTCACCCTTAATACCCTCATATTGACATGAGATTATGCAATGACCACAGTACTTATTTTAGTAAATGAATGATAGCCCTTTTGATGGTTGCTTGACCACACACACACACACACACAAAGCCTATTCCTAAGCTTTGTCCTCTGTCCAGGATCTCTCAGATGACTAGGGATTGTACTGCCATCACTAACCTACACAGCATCTGTGTGAGAAGTAGAACCTGGCACTCCCTCTGAGCAGATAAATAAGAAACGGGTCCACGTTGGGATGGGCAGAACCTTCTGGGTACACAGTTTGAGGTTGAATATCCGTCCTCATCTCCAACCTCAAAGATAACATCTTTCCACAAACAGCACACTCATGAATGGTAGCCTGACTGCCATTCCTCGCCTATTCAGTGAGATTCAATTGCATTCTGTCCAAGAAGGAGGAAGATTATGTACGCCATTTTGCTCCATGAACAGATCCTGCAGTGTGACCAGGTGTAGGTGCCAAGATCTTTTGGCCCCTCCATCTCCACAAGCCCTTCGCCATGTGCAGTTTCCTCTCACCTACAATGATTCTAATGGTGATTGTTACTTTTCATACATCCCAGCTCCTAAACACAGGCTCAACCGGATAAATAGAAATCTGTGGCAATGATGGAAGGAAAACCCAGCATGACTGGATGAGGGGATGCTCCAAAGGTGATTTTGCTTCTATGCTTTGGTCATACGCCTTCTTGACTTTAGACTCCAATCTCCAAGGAAGATGCAACTCCACTTTATCTACCTCGTTCCCCAAACCCAGACCTCTACAGCTCATTCCTGCAGGAGCTTATGGGCGCGCGCGCGCGCACACACACACACACACACACACACACACACTCACTCTGCAGGAGAAGAGACCAAGCCATGGCTGAAAAGGTGGGAAGTCCTCCCAGAAGATAAAGGACCCCTAGCATGTTCTTGATCCTCCCACCAGTCTTCCTCCTGATTGCTGCTGTGGGCACACACCCCTCCCCCTTCCTCACTTGTCAGGGGAGAGAGCCCCTAACAAATCCTCATGGGTCCAGTAGGGGCAATTGTACAGCGATAATAAGTAAAGGTAATAGTAAATCATGGAGAACATGAGCGATAGAAGGGAGAGTGAAATAATGGAGTCAGACACATTTCATGGTAGCATGCTCACCTCAGCCCCGCTTAGTGGTCCTCATAGAGATGGGAGATGGGTGGTGAGAGCCGTTTATTTCTAACCAAGGCTTATATCTACTTAGGGAGTGTGATTACAGGTAACCACACACATCACAGGGAGGGGCTGTACAATAGACATTACAAACAATAGGAGGGGGATATACAATGGGCATAGGTGTGACATGAAGGGGTTGAGCTAGGGGTGTACACATGATAGGAAGGGGAGGGACTAGGGGTATACATGTGACAAGAAGGGTGGACCCTAGATTCATGATGGCAGCCTAACCTTGGTCACCCTTGAGTGGGCTTGACCTCCCTGGGCTCTCCTTCAGGGAAACAATCTACTACTATCCTTATCAGAAGAGAGCAGGCCCTACTTATGTGGGATAAACACAGGTGTCTGCTTGCTCTGGATGGCTGATAACCTTTAGGAAGAATAACCCCTGACCTACTTCTGTTGACCTCCAAGTGTATAGTCATTTGCCACGTGTGGCAGGCAGCTAAGTTTGGCATATATCTGGGGAAGGCAACGTGGGAGAAATCGTTCTGTTTCCCACACTCACTCCCAAGTGTGTTTAATGAAAATGCACCCAATAGGCATGGGTGCGACTGACAGTTATTTGCCCCTCCACGAACCTCCACAGACAGGGGATGAGTCTGCCTGAGTGACACGAGCCCAGCTAGTCTGCACCTGAACAGAACATGATTGCCTTCTTGTGACTAATTGAATCTCGGCTGACTGACACATGTTTCCTGGAGGCGACCTGGCCAGCACACCTTACTCTGGAGGGCAAGCCTGACTGACACATGCTTAGGCCCAGGCTCTGGGAAGGAGCTCTGTTCTGTGTCTTTAGAAGGAAGGATGTACAGCTTGGATTTAATTGGCTTTAAACTCCTGACCCGGTTTTCCTTCCTTTCTGGGCACTAGGGCTATATCAGAGAACAACCTAGGTCCTGCCATTCACTGTACCCACATGAACGAGTTCAGATGTTACAGCAGTTCAGAGCCCTTGGGCAATGGCATAACAAAGTCATTTGGGGTAAAACACAGGATCACAAATTGGTGAAGCAAATGGCAGTGACAGTCAATGTACTCAAGTATACCAACAATCATGACGGTGGCACAGAACTGGACAGCCATTTCTTTCTATTATCTAGAAAGTTGGGAGCCTGATGGCATGGCGGATGGGCTGCAAACCCATCAAAAGTTCAGCAGTTCAAAGTCACCAGCTACACCTCAGGATAAAGACGAGGCTTTCTACTCACATAAAGAGTTATCCTCTCAGAAACCCACAGCGGCAGTTCTACCCGAGCCTCCAGGTTAGCTATGCGTCAGGATGGACTCAGTAGCAACAAGTGGTCGTAGTAGATATGTGGCTGCCATGAGGCAGAGTTGACTGTAGAGCAACTAACAATAGCATCGCTCTCAGGTCGCAAAAGCTCTTTATGCCAGGCTACCACGCTTCTCCCACCTTTGGATAATAACATGAACTGGTACAATGGTGGGCAAGGATACAGTTCTCTCACATACTTCCTGTCATGTTCTCATTTTAATAATTAAATATTTATTTCCATTTTGCAGAGGGTAGAAATGAAAGCCCAGAGACTAAAAAGAAAAAAAAAATTCCTTGTTTAAGGTCTCACAGTCAAGCTCCAATTTACAGCTCCTAATTCCAAACGCCGTGTCCTCATGAAGGCGGGGCTTGTACTGTAGCATGAAAATTTAACTGGTGTTCTAAGAACCTGACATTGATAAAGGTTGTTAGGCCTGGGAATGGGGAACAGATGTGGATTATCTTTTTGCTAGCTTTCTATAGGATAGATCATCATCCCAGAAGTGTAGATAACAGCAGTACATTGCGCATAAATCTTGGTGTTTTGCTGATAGCGACACAGGAGAAGCAGAGAGGAGAATTTGACCATAGCTTACACTCAAAAAAACGAAACCAACATTTAAGGAGGGAAAATGGCTGCAGGGGTCAGAAATCCCTCATAAAGAGTTAAAGCATCCAGAGAAAGAAGTTGCTCAAGTCCTTTATGATGATAAAAACATACTTGCTGGTTGAGCTCAGACTTAGCTCAGGGTTTCCTAACAGTCTAACAAGGAGGAACATCATCTGGCACGTGCTTTGTGTGACCTGATGATGTGAACACAAGGGTGAGGAAATCCATTTCCTTAAGGAGATCTTGATATAAGAGATGCTGGTTGAAGGGTCGCGGGGAAGAGACG